AGAAATAAAATAAATATGCGATGACAGAAGTTGAACCTAATAACGTGACCACTCCCAAAGTTTAGCATATTACTGGAACTCGCTAATGGAGCGCTACCCATTATTCATGATAGGAGCAGTGAGGAGTCATGCATAATGGAACAGAGCCCCTGCTAACAGCAGATTCACACACAATAATTTAAACTTGTTTGTATGGAAATAAAGGACGAATCTTTGAAGTGAGCCTTAATGAGATTCTGCTTGATCTTCAGTGTATCCTGGGAGAGAGAGTTCAATTTTTCCTCCAGCATCCGGCTCATGTTGGTGGCATGTAGGAAAGAAAGGGCCAGCTTAAATTATGAATGGCCCTTCTTGCCTTTGTGAAGGCAGGTGAGGAGCGGGGTGCTCAGCCGCCAGCACTGGGGGTGCTGCAGCGAGACAGCCTCCCTCATGCAAGGTGGCTTCTGCCTCAGAGACTTCAAGGAGGACTTGGGCTGGAAGGCGTAGGCTTGGAGAGGGGCCTGTCAAAGACCCTCCAACTGCAGAGCAAGCTGGCGGCTCTGGGGAGGTGCTGGGCATAGCACAGCCTGCTTGTGCACACTTGGAAGGGCCCCAGCTGCACATCATCCCTTTGCTACAAGACCAGGACACAGTCACCACTGCCCAAGGACTGCTTCTGGTAACCTCTGAAGGGCTCTGGTGTCCCACCCACGTAGCCTGGCCATAGAAGGCTCCAGGAAGTGGGTTTGTGTCTTGGTTGGCTGGGAAGACAGTTGCATGTGTTCTCAGAATCACTGAGTGTAGAAAAAGCTGACATCAGGCCGTGGGAGGGGTCACCCTCATGGGGCGACCAGGATATTCATGTTGAGGTGACTGTAGGGTGCTCCTTGCAGGCTGGCCACACTCCGCGGAGCGCTCACTGTGTGTCGATGCCATTTTATTTCTCTTATTACCCGTCTCAGGTTTTCTCGAGTCTGTGGCCTTTCAGCCTCAACTAATTGCAGCTCAGCCTCCGAGACTCAGTGTTTGTTGAACTCCTTCTGCTGTTTGGACATGGGTCACGCGGGTGGGAGCTTTCCCTGCGGGAGGCCTTGCTGGGGGCTCTTCCTTCTTAATCCCACAACGGCCCTGAGGAAGGATGTGCTCTTCAACTGTGTGCAGAGGAGAGAAGGGAGGCCCACAAGGCAAGCCACTGGCCAAGCCAGCAAGCAGTGGAAGTGGGACCTGAACCCAGCTCCTGCTTGACTCAGAAGTGTCCTTCCTATCCCATCCTGTGCCTATGCCCCAGCCCCTGCTTCTCCTGTAAGGAGGAGCCGCCCTGAGTCTGGCCAAGATAGGGCACTGTGGGGGGGGGGGGTCCTGCTCCTCACACCCCTCCTGGAACACCTCAGCACAGAGAAAAGCCTAGCAGGACACACTCCCCAACCCACACTGCCCCCTCGGCTGTCACATGCCTGCCAGTGAGATTATCTTTTGCAAAGGCTCTGGGTCAGGAACACATTGGGGGAAATATCAAGAAGGCCCCAAAGAGAGTGGAGGAAGTAAGTGAAGAGGGTGGCTTGTGCACAGCCACATCAGACTAAGCGGAGAGTCTGTCGTCTGTTTTCCTACCCACTCCACTGTTTCTCTGAGGACTACCATGCAAAATATCAACTCCTCCCCTGATGTCCTTGACTAAAGGTCCTCTCCTCTTCCCGTTCCCAGAGTCTCTCTATATTTAGGTTATTACCATGTGTAAATTTTCTGGAATCCATTCTCTTTTGAAGAGATCTAGGATCAATGTCCATCCACCGAGAGCTGAGGAAGAGAGCTCTGGGAGAGGACTGCGGGCAGGTGATTCTCCCCCTCCATGTCCACGGTCGCTCTGCTGCCTGTGAGCAGGCCTACACCTGGGTGGTACCAAGGCCCTGTTAAAGGACCATCAGCGTGGCCACTCCCACAGAGCGTCCTAGGGGCCGTAGAATGGGATGATGTGCTGGGTTTTTAGTACAGAAGCATGTCCACAGCCAACTCGCCAATCCACTTCATATTCAGGCACAAGTCTTAAACACTTCTAGCTGAAGGTCTGAGGTTCTGCAACCCCATTCCCTACTGCAACAGCAACCTGGCTCTGGTTTGGCTCCATTCTTCCGCCAAATATATGCATCTTCTGCATTTTTTAATTTCTAACCATAGCCGTGAGCCAAAATTCACGATTAAATAAAATAAATAGATCCTGGGAGGAGACTTTGGGGAGAAAGCAGTCTTTTCATAATCAAAATCTTTATGCATTTCATCATTATGCTGAGATGTTAAAAGGACCAGATTTTTATAACAAGACCTGATCTCTGAGAACAGAAAAAGAAAAGCTTCATTGAATCTTGCCCTGACTTTGTGTCTATTCAATTACAAGTTCAAGCTAGCCACACCAACATTTTAGGAATGGCCTTTTTTTCTTCCTTTTTTAAGGGGCAGGACTGGAATTTCATTGTATCGAATATAAATGGGGGAAAAAAAAGTACATTGCAGAATAAAACTTAAAACGTTTTTATGGAATTTTCATTATAAGACTGCTTGTAATGGAGTTGACCTCATGTTCACCTAAGATTTCTCTGGCTGTGAGTTCAGATTTCATGCCAATTAACATGTTAATGACATATATCATTTAAAGAGCCTATCATAACTTTTATCACATCGTGTTACATCTATTTCCTCGTAATTAAATCAGAATTACAGGGTGTAATTACCTTTCTTTTCCTGAATCCTCATTCCTTTCAGACATTCAAATTCAAGTGCAAGTGCTAAAAGACACTTGAAAGTAACAACCTAATAAAAATATTATCAATTAATGAAAGTGTTGGGTTTCTCCTACTCTGGTTCCTTTTTGACAAATTCCTTTCTCTCCATGTTCTTTGCATGACATGTAATGATTGGTGGTATCTAGTCAAATGCTTCATGAGCTTTTTAAATCCTCAGGGCCCTCGTCTCCATTAATATGCAACGTTCTCACACATAAATATAATTACATACAATTATTAGCGGAAGAGGATCAGATAAGGTTTATTAAGGAAATATCCTGTAATTACCCAAGTCCAAAACTTCCCTTTACATGTTAATTCACCCGGGCTTGAAGTCTGTAATTATTCCGCCTGCAAAACAGCTATTGACTTTGATTTCACTTTGGGAACCCCATCATTGATGGCAGGATCAACAAAGACTTATCCACGATCATTTTACAAAATTGGTGGACCCAAAGGTCATTATCTGGCCACCTCTGGTTTTCCACTCCCCTTCTTACATCAAATTTTAAAATTTGAAGTTGTGTCATGCTTTGTTTTTGGTCCTCATTTTCACTTCAAGTAATCTCTAAGTAATCTGCAAGCATGTGTTTTTGTGTGGCCATCAGTCAGAATGACGTGGGCAGAATTACCGAAGATGGCGTGCGTTCTTTGAGGAGCTAGGCAGTGTAGGGTGGGTAGAAAAGCAACTTCTCTGTTGTCAGGAAGTTCTACCTGCTTAGGTCAATTCAAACATTCATCTGGCAAATATGCATGGTCTCCTGTCATGGTTAGGTATTTAGTCCTTGGCAAAGAATGCCATGGTCAAGGTCATTGTTGCCAAGATGCCAACTTGCTAGGGTAGAAGAACAGACCATAAATTAGTAAACAATAGAATGAATAAGAGGATCACCGTTAGTGATGACGGTGCAGAGAGAAAGAGAACAGAACAAGGTGACAAGTTGGGCGGGGGTGGATTCTTCTAGACAAGCCAGTGAGGAGGCCATCTCCAAGATACCTGATGGTTGAACTGAGACCTGAGTGGTATGAAGGAGTGAATGAGGCTCAGGGAAAACCAAAGGGCAGTGTCCAGGTGCTCAGGGTGAGTGAGAAAGGTGTTTTCAAAGAACAAAAAGGAGGTGGGTGTGCCTAGAACAAGGGGTACAAGATTAAAAGATGGCAGGAGAAAAATGGAACCACTTGGAAGTTTCTATGGGCTTCAGAAAGTACTATAGGTTTTGTTCTAAGAGAAACAGGAAGCAGAGTCAGGATCATAAGCCAGGAAGTGCCGTTACCCAAATTACATTTTGGAAAGGAAATTCCGCAATTATCACCCCGCAAATGGGAACAGGTTGGCACACGCCCACAGACTCCTAAATGACTAAGCTCAGGACATGGAATCTCATGGAAATAAGCAGGGACAGAAGATGGCTGCCTTTCCTAGCTTCTTGCTATCCATGGTCTCATATATTTATTCTTTCTCTGCATATAAATCAATAACTGAATTCTGTCATGCATCTAGGGGCATTAGTCTAAGGCAGGGGTTGACAACCTACAGCCAGCAGAAAGTTCTTCCTGGAACACACCTAAGCCCAGCCAGCCACTTGTCCAAGGCTGCTTTCACACTGCTGCACAGAGTTAAATCATTAAAGGGCATGAAAGCCCGTGAGATAATGAGTGGGTGTGGCTTTGTTCCAGAAAAACTTTATATCTGGATGCTGAAATCTGATTTAATACTCACATATCACAAAATAAGATTCTCTTTTGATTTTTGTTTGTTGCGCATTTAAAAATATAAAGCAATTCTCAGCTTGCAGACTTTATAAAGCAGGTGACAGGGTGCACTTGGCCATGGGTCGACACTCTGATTTACAGGGCTGTTAACTAACATCAGACCGTCTAGGTTCTCGACTGGTTCTCCATATTACTAGGTCCCATATCCTCCTGGGGAGAAGGCGGAGCTGGCATCCAGCTGTTTCTGGATCCTTTGCCTCCAGGTTGCTGGTTTCCAGAATGTGCATCTCCCATAGACTGGCCATCCCTCCCGTCCTCCAAGCCTGGAGCCTGAGCTTGTGAAGGGAGGAGGCTGCTAACCTACCCTGATGTCCCAAGCATTCAGCACAGTGCTCAGCCCAGAAGGTAGTCAAACCACATAAGTGGAGAGAAGCAGCCAAGCCACGTCTGAGAGGCCAAGCTTCCTTCACGCAGTTCCCAAGGCAGACTCTAATATCATTAATGCTATGACAAGATAAAACCATTACTCACCAGCACAATGAATAATTAACCATTTTTCAAAATCGAGTAGGATGGGCAACGAGGAAGAAGAAAGGGGGCCATAGGTCCCTGAGAGTGATAGCTTCAAATGACTTCTTGAAATACCAAGCCTTCTGCCCCTACTCTGCCCCGTGTCCATCGATTTCCAAATGAGTTGAGGCCATTTCCTGACAGTTTAGGGGAAAGGGGCCAAACCATTAGGCTCCCAGTCTATCTTCAGTATTTTACAATTAAGAGCTGGCCTTGTTTAAAGCGCAACCTGTCATGACCATTAATACTGAGATCGGACACTTGGATCCAAATGCAATCTGACTGCCTGCTACAACCCCAAGTTAGGCTGCTTCCGAACGCGTCCTGCACTCTGGAGCTCATCTCTGCCAGCTGATGTCTGTTTCAGCTGAGCGGTGGGGGCTCCCGGCTGGCGCAATGCGGGAGCCGATGGGGCATGGACTTTGCTGCTGCTGGTTTTTTTTTTCTGACAGCTTAGCCGGTACCCCAAGCCTGCCTGCTCATCTTCAGAGACCGCCACCGATTCCCTCTCTTCTGATTAGCCTGGGCAATGATTGGGATAATTTAGGACTTGCACCGCTTGATCATCTGTACAGTTACAAGAAATAAAACATTCTCATATGATGAGCAGTCGCTGCGTGTTTACGTATCACGTTGGCGAGAACTGAATAGATGCCAAGCGCCATAGAGAAGGGGGAGAGGAGCTCGAGAAGAATGACGCTAATAAGGAAATTACAAAAGCCCAACAAATGGCATTTGTGTTAAATCAATAATGCTCTGTTTGTTTTTTTTAATTCTAATCTTTCTTCAGAAAAAAAAAATTATCTTTCTAAACAGTTGGCGATTCCTATTCTTGTTCGTCTTCCTGAACATAATTAAAAACATGTTGTGGCGTCTACTTAAGACATCAACTTTCCCAAGGCTGTCTTGTCCACTGCGTTTTAAACAAAGACACTTGTTTTGGCATTATGCCCTTAATTAATCATTGGAGGCTTTATTGCAGTACCCAAAAAAAAAAAAAAAAAGTGTCTTTGTTTAATGATTCATCACAAGCCCAATTTCTACAGAACTTAATCAAATACAGAACCAACTTTCTAATCAGCTTAACTACAAAAAAAAAATGTTTTTTTGTAGTATCCCTTGAAAACAATGTATCCCTTGTTTTCAGGATGTTATTGAGAAAAGAAATATTGGTATATGACACTTTACTACTATAGGCTGCTTAGGAATTATTTTGTGGACATGAGATGGACCCTTGCTTTTGGAATTGAGAGTGGAAGGCCATTATCCATTGAGAAAATAGCAACTTCACTGGCCCAGTGAATGTCATTGAGCACTTCGATTTTGCAGAGCAGGGACAGATCTGTAAAAAGGGCTTTAGGAATTGTTGATTTGCAATTTTTAATGTTATCTCTGAGAGTCAAATGGCTCATCCCAAGGTCAAGGTGCTTTCCAAGGTCAGAGTCTTCCAGGAAGTGCTGATTGTGCCCTGGCTGACCTGTCACTTGCTTGGATCAAGCTGCAGATTCTTTTCTCTGCCTTAAAACGGCTAGCACCCCTGGCTTCTTCATCAGACTCTCTTTCTGTGGACACACCCCTGAGCAGAAGTCACCTAGACACTCTTACATAAGAGAAAGCAGAACAAACCGAGGCTCCTAGAAATCACTTTGAGTCAGGTCCGGGACCCTAAAAAAGGTCTCAATAAGATAGCAACGTTGCTGGAAGAGGAGGTGGCACATCTTTTGAATTAAAACAATCTACAAATGCATGGCTTTCTCAGCTTAGTGCACATGACACCCTACAAGGAGGCTGGAGCACTCCGTTTATATTGTCACTGTGTTACTATCATTATTAGTTTTGCCATATATATGAGAATATAAAGTCCATGGCAATAATCATTGGTGTGGGTTTTTTTTAATTTTTTAGTTGTAGATAGACACAACATCTTTATTTATCTTTTTATGTGGTGAAGTGGATCGAACCCAGTGCCTCATGCATGATAGGCAAGTGCTCTAACACTGAGCCACAACCCTGTCTCCATTGGTGTGGGTTTTAAGCACTTTAAGATGAGCTGTAACTCACTTGTCCCTGACACCTGTTGCTGAGAGGTAGATGTCATTTGTGGAACACTTTCCTTATGCCAGGCTCTGTGTTCAGTACTTTGGGGACATCATCTACTATAAGATGGGGAAGGATCATCCCCATTTTGCAGATAAATAATGGGGCTTCATTTGACCAGAAGCTTTTTCTACTTCCAGGACAATGGCTACAACTTTCTTCAATCTCCCCAACCTGATGCGAGTCTCTGGGGTCCTCCAATCTCAAAGCATCCCAGACTCCGCTGGGCAGACCCTCTGAGGCAGCCATGAGCATCTGCTAAGAACCACAGGCAGCTTCAGCAGTCTTAGCCTCCAGATGAACACTGCATCCTAATGGTGGCCTCAGGACACAGAGGTTTAGGGCGGGGCTTCAGAATGTGACATACCCAGCCTCAAATCTCAGCTGCCTCTGTGGGTCACCAAGAGACTTGCATAACCTCTCTGAACCTCTGTTTCCTAACCTTAAAAATATGACTCCCAAGAGCACCTACCTCGTGGGGGATTAGATGAACATATTCAGGCAGGAGCGTTTACGCGATCGGCCTCCATGTGACAGGCAATAAATGCACGTTATCATGCACAGCTGTGGTGGAGGCAGCATCTTAGGCTTTAGAGGCTCGGAAAGGCAGGCTTGGTCACAGGGTTCAGACTCAGGACAAGGCTTCCCACCTAAAGTCCTGGGGCTTGTCCTGTACAGGCTCCCCCAGAAACCGCCTCTGAGACCAGGATTCCTGATCCCAAGGAACACCAGTGGGCAAGTGGGGAGGTGAGATGGGAGGGAAGGAGAGGCAGCCTCACAGGGTGGCTCGGCATGCGGCTGTCTGGGATAACTGGCACTGGACTCCACAGAGAGCTCCCGGAGCCAGTGTAACCACTGGAGAGAGCTTGGGTGTTTGCAGACGGACTCCGGCCCCACAGCTGTGAGGTGTGAGTAAGGGGGAGGCAGGGGTGCTAATTAGTGTCCATTCCCTCCACCTGGTTGAGGAGGTACAACAGAGAGAGCCCTCAGAGAATGCATCCCCGGCCCCACCAGTCCTGCAGGAGACCCTAGACGGGGAGGGCCAGGAGAGAGGGCTGGCCACCAGTGACACTGGCCCTAAGCTGGAAGAAAGCTCCCTCGACCCACCCCAAAGGAAGAAGACAAGGTCCCAGGGCAGGACAGCAGCTCTCCCTCCAGATGCACCCCATCTGCGAAGGAGGAGCATGCAAGCTGGCAGCCTTGGCTCTGTCCTGCAGCACCCTCTGTGACATATGGATCCACTCCCCTCTGTGCCTCAGGGTTCTCACCTGCAGCACCACGGATAACAGGTGGTGTCTCGTGAGGCACTCCCATACCTGCCCAGAGAGGTGTTTGGATCTTCTGCTGGGCTCCTCCCACACTGTGATTTTCTACCTTAATGCTTGGCGAAGGGGGGATCAACAGCCCTTGGTGTGATTGACAAGGTTCCCCTGAGCTCCCGAAGGCCAGCACTGGGCATCACATTGGTCTTCTTCTCCCCTCCACTCTTCAGCATATAGTATGTGCTCAGTGAACACAAGTCAAGCACACATCTCTATACACCCTTACCTCCATGGGTATCTACATAATTCGAATATGCTACATCAAGGGCCTAGGATAGGTGCCTGGAACTCATATGCCTCCAGGAATGAATGACAGCAAAAGTGAAACAAGAGAGACACCAAGGGAGACTTCAGAGAGTCCTGAGGAGTGTGGCAAATGGCAGAGCACTTGCCAGTCCTAAGGAGGTGCATACCCCCTTCCATTGGCTTTCCAAACTTTCTACTTACCAAATCTCCCATATTTTTTTTTCTAGACAGACTAGAAATCCATTATGTGAAATTTCCTGATTTTTAACATGTTGGCTCCATATTTTTAAAATTCATTGCTCAAGTCAAACAAAAATCTTCAGCCTGACACAGCTGTCCACTCAATAGTGTGAGGTCTCTGCTATCAAGCAACAGTTGAGATAAAGGCATTTTCTCTTCCCCTCTCTTCTTCTTGTACTTTGTTGCGTTTTCATTGTTTCAAAGCCAGAGTGTTTGATGTTAATTGCCCAGGTAGATTTGACCACCTGGGGCAGGTGGAGGAACCAGGTGGCTTCAGCGAATCTGTGGCATGCCAAAGGTTCTGTTCATCCAGCATGAGCCTCTGGTTCTCTGCAGTGGGCAAGGAGTAGCTCCTTTGCCAGTCGTCTTCCTTCTCGGGAAATCCTCTGCTTATGTCCATGGCTACTTAGTGACTCAATGGCCATGAGGCTCCGGTGTCCAGCCAAGACCAGTATGTACTTATGTGCGGCGTGTGCACTGGCAGTTAGCAAATAGGACATCTCCTCCAGAGCGACCAGGAGAGAGGCCAATGGGGTGGTCTCCCCCGCTGGGGGATGACGGAATCAAGACGTCTTAGTTCACCCAAGATGAGTCGGGAGGTTTCTGCTCTATCCAAAGGGGAGACACACTCAGTGCTAAGACAAAAAAAAAAAAAAAATCCACTCCCTTTATCCCCTCGTATTCACCAAGGACCGGCACTTTCCAAGACGGGACTGCACACTACGGGTGGCAGTGCCAAGGCTCAGCCCCTTTGGGGAAGTGTTTGGTGACAGCTGAGAGCCCTGCAGGCATTCCTTCTCTCCAGCCTGCACGCTCGGGGGCCAGAGCTCGCCTCCACCACGTTGGGCACATGTGTGAAGTGGGGGCCCGTGGACCGTGGTTAAGGTGTAGCACTACCGGGTGTGGATCTCAGCTCTACTCGCAGATTGTGTGATCCCGAGCATGTCACTCCATGACCCTGCATCTCAGCCCCTCCTCTGAGAAACGGGGCTACTGAGTACCTACTTCGCCTGGCAGGTGGGAGACAAATGAGTTAAAACCGATAAAGCACTTAGAAGGATGCCCTGCTCATAGCAGGCACTAGTCCTAAGTGTGGTGTTTGCCCTCTGCAACTGCGAGCCCTCCTGTAGGTTTCCACACCCATAGACCAGCAGCCCTGAAAAGTGAGGTGGATCTCCGTGGTGATACAGAACAACCGCCAGGTCTGTCACTTAGAGGACATATCAAGTGTCTGTAGTACTCACGGGTGTTTAAAATAATATCTAAATTCCACTCAGTAACATTGTTTTCTAAAAAAAAAGTAATAATATACACCTACACACATGTACATTTACCTACATAGACAATATTTCTAGAAAGATCAGAAATGAGCATGAAGGGTGAAGACATACTTTTAAATTTTGTGGCATTTGAATTTTTTATCAAGTTCTTGTATAATTTTTCCCCCAGAGGAAAAATTTTTGTTTAAAGGAAAAAGCCAGACTGCCAGGTGCACATTACAGGGGCACACACCTGTAATCCCAGCTGCTTGGGAAGCTGAGGCAGGAGGATCACAGGTTCAAAGCCAGCCTCAGGAATTTAGGGAGGCCCTAAACAACTTAGCAAGAACTTACCTCAAAATAAAACATTTAAAAAAGGGATGAGGATGTGGCTCAGTAGTTGAGTGCCCTTGGGTTCAGTCCCTAGTACCAAAAAAA